CACCTCTCACTTATTATTGCACAGCTTTCATATGATGGTTCATTGTGGCATAGAACACATAGTGCTATGATTTCGAGGTAAGGCTTTATAGGACTGTGCTGTCTTTCTGTTAGGGAGGATTGGATGTTTCAGTGAAGAGTATGAACTTGAATTCAGAGGCCAGGTATTATGTCATATTATGCCCTGAACATGTCTTTAACAATACAAAATCATGAGTTTTCAATGTACTTGAAAAAACCTTATTTTCAGTAGAGTGCAGAATAGTCACATAGTAAGGTGCAGAACATTCACACAGTAAGTATTCAATAACTACTTGATAAACAAATAAACCTTCATTATCTATTCTTACTCCAATATACCATCATCTATAACTATTTCCATAGCTCCTATGTTTTGACTAAGCAGAAGTATTCAGTCTCTAACAATTTTTCCTTGAAATTTTATGCATTATGTATTAACATTTTTTGGGAAATAATTTCAGACTACAGAGAAGTAAAAATAATATAAAGATTTCTGTATATATATATCACCCAGATTCTCTATTAAGATTTTACCATGTTTGCTCTGCTATTCTTTCTGTATGTGTATGTGTATGTAATTATTTCACCTGAATCATTTGAGAGGAGGTTGCAGACATAATGTCCCTTTAGCCCTAGATATTTCAGTGTGTGTTTCTGAAAACAAGGGCATATTCTTAGATAACTTCAATATAATTATGAATACCAGGAAATTATATATTTACTTTTAAGCTCAGCATTTCCAAAACCATATGTATTGGTGACCAATAGCATCATGACTGTTATTACGAATATAATTCAATCTGCTTTCAAAAGGATCATATTGTCAGTGTTGCCTTTGTTCTTATTTTACAAATTTTGCTTCAAGTGATGTCAAAATGAATCTTATTATATCCTGACAATGGTTATATCACACTGTTTCTTCCTTGTGGGTTTAAAACAGCAGATCAAAAGTTGTTCTGAGACCTCCAAGAAATAACACATCTGTCTCAGTTTTTAAGGTTACTATTTTTGGTCTGGTAAAAATAGAGAAAACCCTTGGGATTCAAAGATTTGCCTTGCGTGGTTTAAATGTTCGTGGAGCTGTTTCTTCTCATAAATAATGGTGTGTCTTTGTTACTATGAGCTCACATAACTGACCCACTCAAGCACTGTATCTATCACATCAGCTTTTGTAGAGTAGTTTTCACAAAATGGACTTTTTTTCTGTTCAACTCTTTTAGTTTGCTCTGTTCATCCTGCTGGGTACTGACAGTTTCCACAGTTTCTCTGTAGGCAGCTCTTACTTGGAACATTTGCTAGTTATAACCCTACAAATTACTTAGGCTGGTAAGTTAACTATTATTTTTCTTTCTTTACTCTTCTGGAAACTCTTTCAACCATCAGAATATATAGCCAGGTCTGGCCACAATTTATTTATTGATCATTTTAAAGTTTAAGAGTGAGAGAGAGACAGACAGACACTTCCACTAAGGTCTTGGTACTGATCCACCCTTAGGCAACCTGGATCACATGCACGCACATATGTGGGTTGGCTTGCAAAGAGGCCCTGGGAATCAAACTTGGGATCCTTCCAATGTGGGTCTACTGCACCATCATCTGGCCCCTCGCATATGAAGACAAAATGTGTGATAGATTTTCATTTGGAGTGTGCAGCTGGTTCTGTTCTTTGCCTTCCATCTGTTAACCCTATACCTCCCACAAACAGCCTAAATGACTTTGATATTTCTGTCAGTATTTGTTCCTAAAACATTCACACAACCATTATGACATTCACTGGGAAGTAGTGCAACAGGAGAGAGCTGAATACTTATTCACTTCCTCTTCTATTCAACTGGATAATGTTCAAATTAAGCAGCCGTTTTTTTTTTTTTTTTTTTTTTTTTTTTTTTTAATCAGTCAGACAACAATTTCAAAACACTAAAATTCATAGTAATTACTTATAAATATTCAGGCTCTGGTAGGATAATAAAATAACCCACTCCTTTACATTGAGAAATCGCCAAGTGACTTTCTCTGACTATAAAATATTAAATGGACTAATTTTGTGTAACTTCTACTAAAAAACTTTGAGAGCCAGTGAGTTACTCATTACATTTTCTTTGCTTTTGTGATTAATGCAATAAAATAGAAATGTGCAATAAGCCCCCTCTCCTCCTCTTTTTTGTGTGCCAAAGGGCATATGCATTTGCCAGAGAGAGACAGAAAGACAGAGAAAGGAGAAAGCACTCCTTTAGTGGAGTGTGGTCATGCTGCAATCCATTCTCCTCCATTTCTCCATCGTGCTTGGATAGGGCATACACACGTGCATACATACCCGGAGTGTTTTTCAAGCTGCTGGGCTGGGATTTGAACTGCTTGGTTAGTTATATGGGATCTGTCTCCTTTAACCACTAGGCCATGGGGCCAGCCTAGTGCAATAAACTCCTATTTTAAGGTGCTGATATTTTCTGGTTTTTGATTCCCTCAACACAAATTCACGTGTAGTGATGGATACATTAAGAAACAGATTATCTGTCCCTTACCCTAATAAAAAAGGAAAAAAAAAGATTTTATCTGTAAAGTCTCTCATTTTTCTATCCAAGAAAATCATTCTGGTTGGTGTGTGTTTGTATGTGTGCATGTGTGTGTGTTTGTATAGGCATGTGTACTGCCATATCATATGTGTACTGATATTTCTAAAGATGACCTTAGATCCTAAGTTTCAAAATACCATCACAGCATGTAGTGTATTCCCATAATATGGTGAAATGGAATATAAAATAGAAATAGCCCCACAAATCCATAATGGGAATTACTACATGAAAGATAATTACTGGCACATTGACTGCTAAGGGGATATTCCCCAGCCCCCAGCCGATCAGACATAGCCACGCCTCAGCAACCTTACAGGCCATTCCACATGACCTTTGTGATTGCTTTGAAAACCCCGAACTGGGAACACTGAACCCCTGACTACCAGAAACCCGCAATAGCAGGTTAAGCTTTCTGTGACTGCACTTTACATACGAGGTTTCTCTGCCTGGAAGACTCTCTTATCACCCTCACTCCCTTTCCTTATCTCTACCGCTGAGATGAGTGGATCAGAATGTACAAACATTAAGGCCTTTTGATGCATATTCCTGACTGTTTGCCAGGAATTTCTATCAGTTTAACTCCCACTAACACTGTATGAAAGTGTCCCTCCTGCCAAATGGTGGGCATATTCTATAGTGTGTTTCAGAATAAGGTTAATTGAGTCATTTCAGAAAAATGTTTGAAACTCTGTAATTTCATACAGGTCCATACCTTATGCTTTCCTATGTGAATGTTTCATATACCATAATTATAGCACTAATAACTCCCATAATTCATTACCTGGGTTTATTCTATGGATTTGTTTCAGTACTTTGGGGAAAAATCATTCTGGGCGTGTTGTAAAATTTGTTTTACTAGTCATGAGTAGCACCTGAAACTGTAGGTATTTAAGTGATGGCTTCTCGGGAGGTGTTCATCCGAGTGCAAATGAGTTTGGCTCTGAACAGATTTTAGCAGGCGTTTGACAGCTTGGATGACTGGCACATTGTCATCTTCATAACACACCTAAAATGCAGAGTGCCAAAAATCACAAACAGGATGGGTGTAGTTAAAGATCTGAGATCTTGTCCAACTTAGTTAATCTTTAAAATCATCACAGCAGAAATATGCCAACTTTAATTAAAATTGCAGCCTGTAATGTAAAACATAATTATCTTATCCAAAGATATGTATTTTTATTTTAATGTTCCATATACATGTTAAAATGTGTCTTTATAAGATTTATGTGTGCTGTGGAACTGATATCTGATGGTACAGGGAACCTCCTTGAGTGATGACAGGTATTTTTGGCATACCAGTCAGTATCTTTCTCTGACCATTTTGATTTCTTGCTTTAGGACTGTATATCTTGGGGAGTTTTTAATTGATAAAGGACAAAATTCAGTTTTGTTATATATTGATGATAGTAAAAGACAGTGATAGTAAAAGATAATTAAAGACAGTGAAGGAATTTGGAGAGAATCAGTGGTTCAAATAACACAAGGAAAACTGCTAGGGTTTAATTAGAGGAGCCTTGGGGCACAGTGTGTGTGTGTGTGTGTGTGTGTGTGTGTGTGTGTGAATATTCATCAGGTAGTGAAATACAAAAAAAGAAAACAAGTTCTTCAAGATGTATAAGGCATAGGTCAGGCAGTGTCACAGTGATAATGCAAATAGATCTTTAGCCTATGACTTCCATTGTGTGTGTGTGTGTGTGTGTGTGTGTGTGTGTGAATATTCATCAGGTAGTGAAATACAAAAAAAGAAAACAAGTTCTTCAAGATGTATAAGGCATAGGTCAGGCAGTGTCACAGTGATAATGCAAATAGATCTTTACAGAGAAAGTCCTGGGTTCAATTTTTAGACCTCCCTGAGCACACTAGGCATCCATAAGCATGCCCATGATCTGGGCTGGCAGACTGGGTGTGGATTGCGGTGTAAGGACCTGCCAGGGAATGTCTGCCTCACTCTGCTTATTTCTCTCTTTCTGTTTCGTGGGAGAAACAGATGAATAAACTTTGAAAAAATGTATAAGGCTCATTCATCTTCTTTAAAGTTTATTTATTTTTCCATACAAGAGAAAGAAAAAGAGACAGACAGACAAGCGACAGTCACTGCAAACAGGGTCCTCATACTGTGATCCACCTCCAGCATCAACCAGTCCAGTTCCTTGGCATATGTATGCCAGGTGTGTACAAGGTGATCCCAGACATGAACCATGGGGGTCCATTACATTACCACTGTGCCACCATGTGGCCCTCAATCATTTTTTAAAAGTTTGTTCTCAGAAATTTGTATCGTGTAGCAAAATATTCACTAGCTATTTCTATTTTTCACATAATAAGTTATCAAAATATATTGAGGACCTAATTTTAATTTCTTCTCTGTCTCTCTCTCTCTCTCTTTTTATTTTCCTACCTTCTAAAGAAAAACTTCAGGAATCCTGACCAAAAAACTAGGAGAGCTGGGACAGGACATAGGCAAGCTGAAGACAGAAACCCGTGGAGGAAAATGTATTATGAGGGCCTGCTATCCTGAGAATCAAGGCTAGAGAGTGTCAGTACATGAAAGTGAGGGAAAGAATGGAGTGGAGAAGAGGATGCTGCCTTTCATTAATCAGTAAATTACCGATGTTCTGGCAATTAGTACCTTGAGAAAAGTATTCACTACAAAGCAATGAATTGAAGAACTGCAAGAGACCTTGGTGAATGGTGAGTTTTCAATTTCCCATGTAAATATTTCCACACAAGTAAATGAAATCCAGAGACTCCAAGATCTCAGGATGAGGTGGGATTATAGCCGAGACTAGAAGGCACATTTTTCACTTTCACTTTTGTCGTATTTCTTTGGCGATTAGAATATGATGGCCACATCGTAAGTTTGAATTTTTTGGAATCTGGGATATCTTTGACTAATGTTTATTTAAAACAAACATACTAATATTTCCTCATTCAAATAAATTTCTATTCTTTATTAGAATAAATGTAAGAGATTACATAACAGGTTGGCCTCATGGCCTAATGGATTCAGGGAGCTGGATTCCACATGGCTCTCCATGCAGTTTGAATCCCAGCTCCCACAGCTTAAAAAACACACTGGGTGCATGTGCATGTGTGTCCCAAATCCTGAAAAAATGGAGAATGGAGGACAGAGGATTGTGGTGTAATCATGCCTCCTTGAGGAGTGCTTTCTCTCTCTTCCTCTCTTTCCTTCTCTGTCTCTCCCTCTCTCTCTAGCAAGTGCACATGCCCCCTGGCAAATTAAAAATAAAAAAAGAAAGAAATTACACATTTATAAGCTGGATGGCCCTTGAGTCACATTTTTAAAGTTTATCTAATTATTTCATCAGTGAGATTGAGAGAGAGAGACTCTTAACAGTGACACACCCCAGCCTCAGCCAGCCTTGTTAGGGACTCAGACTTTATAGTTGGCCATATGGAATCTGGCTTCCCCAACCTAAGTTATGGGGCTGACCCTGTCCTTCCTCCTTTTAATATTATTTATTCATTTCTCTTTTTTCTTTTTTCTTTATCATTTTGGCTATACTTTATCATAGTTTTGTTTTTAAACATGCTTTTGTTTTTATTGATTCATTTTATTTTTGTTGTTTTTAAGCATTTCTTTAATTTCTGCTTTTTATTATTTTATTTCTTATATTCTATATTTTTCCTTTTTGTTCTCTGTCTAATTTCTTGAGCTGCATAGTTGAGATATTGATTTTCACTCTTTTTACAAAAAAAGCATATTCAGTTAAGAGTATAAATTTCTTTCAAGTATTGATTTACTCTATTTCTCAAGATTCAATATGTAGAATTTTGAAACTATGTATATGTATATTTTGAAACTATCATTGTAATCAGAATCCATGATTTATTTGTTTATTTAAATTGCTTCTCTTCACCATAAAGAGACAGAGAGAGACTGAGAGATAGTGATCATCCCATGGGGGATGATCACACTACAATCCCTTCTTCTCATTTTCTCTTTCTGGAATTTTGGGCACCCATATGTTCCCTGCATGTTTTTTGAGTTGTCGGGTCTAGCAATAGAACCATTCGGTTGTCCATGTGATATGCAGCTGCCTTAACCACCACTCCACTGGCTAGCCCATGAATTATTTAGATATGTGTTTTATTTCCAAGTATTTGGGTTTGCTTTGTGTTTTGTTTCTAATTTTATTGCATTTGTTCAGAGACTGTGGTCTAAATGACAGAGATTCTATGGTGTTTGTCGAGATTTGCTTTGTGTTCAGATAAATGGTCAGCTTTTATAAGTCTACATGGACCTAAGAAAAGTTAATTGGTTGATGCAGCTTTATATGCAGAATCTAATGCAATATATAGTAATATTTTGTCCTTGATTTATTGATTACTAAGAAAAGAGTATTAAAAACTCTCAGAATGATCATGGCATTATCAATTTATTCATGCATTTCAATTTTTATATCTTGATGTTATATTGTTAGGTACATACAAGTTTATAATTTTTAACTCTTCTTGGTAAATTGTTGATGCTTTCAATATAAAATGACTTTCTTTATTTCAAAAAACCTTTTTGCCCTAAATTGTATTTGTCTGCTATTAATATACTAAGAAAGATTTTTTTTCCCCAGAGGCAAGGTAAGTATCTTATTATTCCTTTACTTTCAACATTTTTATATCTTTATATTTTAGGGGTTCCTCTTTTAAATATATATAGGTGAATATTTTGTTTATTCAACCTCAGAGTTTGTAGCAAGTTTACCTGTATCTTTACTGAAAAACTTACTAATTGAAGAATTTAATTCTTTTTATTTGGAAATTATTTCTACCATATTATTTTATATTTCTCCTGCTTTCCTCTTTAGTCAGTATATTAGAGTTTAAATGTAAAAATCATAAATATAGATATAATTGTAGAAGCCATTGGAGTGAGTAGATTGCCAAGAATGAGAGTAAAAAACATTGAGAAGAGATGGTAGGACTTTAGAGGAATGTTTAACAAAATAGTAGAAAGAAACTCAACAAAGAGAATGGTAAATTCTGATCAGATAAACTGGAAGAGAATCTAGCAAGGGTAATATCTTTTTTTTTTTAGACGATTTTTTTTTCTTTTTCTTTTTCTTTTTTTGCTATAGGGTACGTGTACTCTCCAGAAAGACAGATAGAGACAGAGAGAAAGAAAGTGATAAATTACTCCCTGGGGGGACGGCCACACCGCAATCCCTTCTCCTCCATTCTCCCCTTGGGATCTTGGGCACTCATGCACACGAGCTTGGCGTGAGGTTAAATCACCAGGTCCGACACTAGAACTGTGGTCGACTACATGGGAGTCCAGCTACATAGCCATTATGCCAATTGCTGGTCGTGCAAGGGTAATATCTTAGAGTCCAACAGAAGAAAAATTTTAAGATAAGAGTACATAGTTAACAATATCAGGTGTTACTAATTCTATGAAAGGTGATTACATTCAGTGGTTAGAAGATTGTTGAAGACTTTTGGAACCAGCATATGATGTAATGGTTATGTCATTGGACTCCCACGTAGTTGACTATGGTTCAAGTCCCAGTTCTGATAGCTTAAACTCAATGCTGGATGTGTGTACATGTGTGCCAAAAATCCAGAGAGAATGGAAGGGATGGAATTGCAGTATTGGCCATCCTCCCTGGGGTGGGGGGTGATTTCTGCTTTGTGTTTCTCTGTCTTTCTCTGTCTCTCTGGTGAGCACACACACACCCTATAGCAAAGCTCTCTAAAAAAAAGATTGCTGAAGACTTTTGATAGAATTGTTTAAATGGGCTAGTATGACAGGAATTAAGCAGGCAAAAAAAAGGTTTAATGTAAAATATCTTCTTTGACTGAAAGGTTTATAAGAATAGGGAATACCTTTAAAAAATCTTTTTAAAAAGTTTATTCACCTTATTCTTCCATGAAAAACAAATAAACAAACAAAAAATCACAAAGGGAGGGTGGGAAAGAGAGAGAAAGAGAGAAAGGGTAAGAAAGAGAGAGAGAGAGAGAAAGATGGAACCCCACCAGGGCCCCTATGCCACAATCCACCCCCAGTCTTGGTTGGCTTGGATCATGGGCATGAGTGCCTGGCATGCTCAGGAAGGCCCTGATACATGAACCCCAGGACCTTTCTCATGTGGGTCCAGTTATATTACTACTGTGCCACTGCCTGGCCCCAAGAATAGGGGATACTTTAGCTTGGAGGAAAAAATAACCTGTCAAGACGTAGGAGTAAAGATGCAACAGATCAGAGAAGTAACTGATGAATCAACATGTTCAGGATAATAAAAATTTTTTACATGTTTTTTCTGGTATAGGTTTCTGTTCACGAGTCCACTTAGAGACTGCACAGATTACATGCCAAATTACGAGTTGGAAGAAATGCAATATAAATGACGAGGGTGTCTCAATAGGCAGCACTGATGAATCCATTAATTTGGGTATCATTGATCAAGCACTGTGAAGTTAATCCTGCAATGTGGGTTAGTTCAGAGCATACGTTAATAAATGCACTTGCGCTTGACCTATAAAATGAATGATCAACATGTCCCGTAGGGCCATGAAACTGGTGAGCTCTCTGAAGAATCATCACTATCACTAAGCCATTTTAAAGGCCTGGTTTTAGATTTTCATTAGGAGAAATATCTCTGGAATGCCTTTCCTAATGAAAACCGAGTACTTAATTTCTGCTAAAACAGACGCAGGGCAATTATTAAAGTTTTTGCTCTTAAAGTGAAAATAAAGTAATTTTACTTTGCCTATACCTTTTGTTTCCTTTCCTTTGGGAAGTAATTATAATTCCCAATGTATCTGTTTATATTTGTTGAACAACATGAAGAATGTGAAACCCACCCCAAGTGACTGATATCACATAGCCTAGGACAAACTATCTGTATTTTATACAGGAAAAGAATATTTCAATTCAGGTGTACTTTCTCTAGGCATCTTAAATAAAGCAGCATTTCAGGGTAAAGGTAATTGTCCAAACTGTTGAGAGCTCTGACTCTTTGGACAAGAATCTGTTCTAAAACCGGCAGTGAGAAAAGCAAGTATAATGTTAAAAGTTGGCTTTCCTTTGAAATGGCTACTCTCAAAAAAATAATAATTTTTCTTTTTGTAAGAAAAACTCTTTTTAAGGCCCTGTGGTTGTGAAAAGTGAGTGACCCTCTCCAAACTCAGCTGCATATTGGGGGAAATGCTTTATTTGATCTATGTCAAATAGCATGAATTTGGTAATTGCCTCTTAGCAGCTCAAGGACTTGTGTTAGGGCTTGAACAGTATTCAGAGAAGAGAAGTGGCGGAGTGAAAGCATCTTAATAGGAACAGAACATGACTAAAGTCTAGACCTACAGGAGAAAGAGAGCTCCTGAGAGAGTCCCTGTAGCAGAATGGCTGAGTATGCTTATTATGTGACCCATCCCACTTGAAGGTGGTTTTTGATGTGTGTTATGATATAATTTCTTTGTATATCATCAATGAAAGTCAGTTTTATACAGAAGCTTTTATTTAATGGTATTGGGGCTATGCCTGTTACAGAGTGGGAGATTCAGTGACAAGGAAGGTGATTTCAAAAGGAATAGCAATTGATAGAGGAGAACTTTTGGAACACGTAGGCATATTGTGGAGGGGTGAGGTTTTTCACAGAAAAGTGAAATGATTACAGAGTGATTTTATTTGTAAAAAACATGATTCCTGGCTCAAGGGAACTTGGGGATAGTGG